AAAATATTCCTGCTCCACTAAACCCACGGCTGGCTTCCCCAGGGACGTGGGGCCATGGTGGGTGAGACAGAGGGATGTGCACACCAGCTTCCCAGGGCAGGAGGGAGAGCATCCTTGCTCCCTGGCAGCACCCGGGGCACATCTGCCTCATCACAGCCCAGAGACCCTCAGGGGTCCTGAACATAGACATTTTTAGGTGTTCCTTGAGGTTCCTCAGGGGATCCCTGGAGACCTGAGCACTATCCTCCCTCACCCTGGGACAGGGACTTACTGCGTGGGTGGCACAGTTTGCTGCGTGCTCGTACTCCGTCGGCTGGTACCTGCAGTTGGACGGGACACGGTGATTCATGAACCTGCAGCGAGAATAAGGGCGAGAAACACGCTCAGGGGATGAGGTTTGGGGGAAAGCCTTTTGGGAGGGGTCTGCACAGGGACACCCACTATCTCCCCAGCCTGGAGCCCCACCTCAGCTCAGCTTTGCTCCAGCTGCCCTGCAGAAGTGACCCCGGCACTGGGCACAGCTTGTCCCTCTGGCTGGCCCCAAATGGCAAGACCCCAGCTCTTGTTCAGCTGTGGCTCAGGCTGAAGGATATCCCAGCAGTTGCCATCACTTGGAGAGCAGAGGGCAGGAGCCAGCTCTGCCTGCTGCTGCGGGCAGGAGAGCGCAGCGGTGGGAAGGATGCAGGGGAAGCTGCTGCAAGGATGGATCGATAAGGTCTGGAGCATCTCCTGACCTGTCCTGGCATTGGGGCACAGGTGACAGTCAGCAGTGTGTCCGGCTGCCAGCTCTTGTGACATTGGCACCTCTCCCCATTTTCATTTCACAGGTGGAAAAACTGAGACACCGCGTAACGACGTGATCTGGTTACAGCCCATCTGCCCCAGAGGGAACGGACCAGCACATCCCTGGCAGTGGAGAAGAGGGCGTGTGGCTGCGGGTCCATGACCCATCCAGCGGTGACACCCTCACGTCACAGCAGCATGCCCAGCTTCAACAAGGGCATCCCCACGATGCCTTTGGTTTCTGGGTACCACCTGCAGCTACCCCCTGCCCACAGGGGCCATGTGTCCCAGCACAGATTGCTGCAGGGAGAAACCCGGCCGGGCTCCCTTGGAAACCTGTCTCTTTATTTCTGCTTCTCTTAGTCTGAGGTATCAGCTTGCTCTTGGCATTCGGAGGAACATATCGATTTCCCCTGTCGGATCAACACACAGCAGTAAAAAATAGTGTCAGGCTTGGCTAGTCCACCACTAGGTATGTAACGCTGTATTAAGAGGCAAATTAAATGTGCATCCATGATAACAGGTTGGAGCAAAGCCTTGCTCAGCATCCTCTTCTGGCAGGAGCAAAAGGAAATAAGAAACAGGCAAACAGAGAGTGATCCTTCCCTGCCTGCTCCTGGTAATCAGGGGTTTAAAGACCTTTTCTGCTGTGTCTCAGGTCAGGATGGCCGAGCTGAGCGGGCGCCGGCGAGGCTGCCCTGCAGGACCTGCGCTAATTGCTTTCTGACCCCATTTGCTCTCGGCTCCGGCACCATCTGTAGCGCATTTCACAGCTGAGCTGCACCCGGCGAAGGGGCTCCGGGGATGGCAGGACCTTGCTGCTGGGCGCAGGGTCACCCCTCGGTCCGGGGCACTTGGGAAAGGCAGAAAAAGTCCCCTTTCTCCATCCCTGAGCCACCCACGCCGGTGTGGACTCCTCTGCCATCTCCTGCCTGCTCAGCCCCACCGCCGGAGTCGCTCACTGCTGTCTATTAAAAGTGAGCCAAGATGGATTAAATAGCTCAAATCACCCCAGCACGGCGGGAAGAAGCACGGTCATCGTCACCAAAAGATGTATTGAATTAAGCGGTGGGGGAAGCAGGGAACAGAGGGGATTAAGTTCCCACCACTCTGCAAATCAAGGACCCGCGCTGGGTAAATCGGGGCTTAGCAAGGCTGCCGTGGCAGGGAAGCAGCTGGGCATCCCTGGGGATGTGGCCATGCCCAGAGTGCCATTCCCTCCATCCCAGGGGACACCAGGGACACCCTCCCCATCCCGCCACTCCAGCCAGGAGTCAGGCTCCCCACGCTGGAGCCACATCTCCCTGGCAGGAGGACATTACCGTCCCCAGCGTTGCCGGGAGACTGTCCCCAGCTCCCCTTCGCTTTCTGCCTCCCGTTCTTTTCCCTTTTAATAATAAGGCGGCGGGGGGGAAAGGCCAGACATCCCGCGTGACGTCGCGGTTGCTGAGGAAACATGTACAAGGCCTTTTCCTTGAATTTATTTGTTTTAACAAAGCCCCACACCGTCTCCCCTCCATTCTGGCGGTTGCTGTTCAGAACGGTAACGGGGAGCAGCTGCGGGGCCGGTTCCCACAGCCCCCCCCTGCCGGGGCCGAGGGGCGCCTGGACCCTTTGGGAAGGGATCCCTGGGGTGCAAATATCCTGCCTAGCGCTGGTCCGGGGATGGAGAGGCCAGGAAGGGCCACCCCTGCCATTCCTGCGGGATGAGGTCGAACAGCATGTGTGTCCCTGAAGCCCAAAGCGGTGCACGCCGGCTTCTCCAAGATGGAGAAATACTCTCGAGGAGGACATTTTTTTTTTTTTTGACCTGGGGAGAGATTGCTTTTGTTTTTCTGCCCTGTTTTCTAATAAGCATCATCCTGTGAAGGATGGAGCATCGAGAATGCAGGACCTTGGCTGCAATGTGCTGGACCAGCCTGGGTACAGCTGGGCCCTCCCAGCTCAGCCAGCATTGCATTTTGGGGCTAGTTGGGCACATTTTCATGGTAGTCTGTGCTCAGGAGCAGAACTGTGCAAGCAAGCGTGGGAGCAGCCAGCGTTTGCGCTTCTCCTGGCAGGACAGGCTGAGTCCCTGGCTGCCCTGCAGCACCTCTGTCCCCAAAGAGGCCGTTCCCTCACCTTCTCTCCTCTCCTGGGACTTCATCCACCTCCCGGACCACCCTGGGATGCCGAGCATCCACCCACCTCACATCATCTTGGGTGGCGGGCCAGGGCACGGGGAGCCCTGCATCGTTCCCAGCCTGCAGACAGTTGCCATACCGGCGTGCAAAACCAGGCTCAAGCCTGAGCTGCAGCCCGGACAGACGGACGGACACGCTCGGAGAGGGCACCCACGGCTCTCATTAGAGCTGATGAAAGCCCAGAGCAACTGGGAGTCCCAGGGGTGGCTGTTGCATGTTTCCCAGTCCTGGCTCCATGCAACTGGGATCGGGAGAAGGGGAATTGCTGGCAGCCAGGCAAAGCTCCGGTGCTTTCCAACACAAGAAAATAAGGAGGAGAAGAAGAAAAACACCTCTCCAAACTGAGATCTGATCCCCGCAGCAAGTCTCCTGCCCGGCTGGCCGAATCCATGATCATCGCCAGCTCTGTGTCACTGCACCCGTACGCCTGGGGACACAACAGGGGCTTGTCCCCAGCAGCCTACGCTGCCACCTTCCCCGGGGACTGGGCAAAGCGGCAGTGATGCGGCTCGCTCGACACGGCCGCTCCAGGAAGCCACGGGCAGGTGATCACACACCGACTGGGTGCTTCCATGCCTTTTAGCGGGTGCTTTAGGATTGCAAAGTCCGAGAGACACAGAAAAGTTTAAAACCTCCTGCACGGCAGGACTACGAGCATGTTCATGTTCTAGGGATGGTGCACGGGAAGCAGAGAGCCGAGGGGCTCCCGAGCATCTTTTTCTCCCCATAGCATTTCTGGCAGACGCTCTGTGGACCACCTATATGAAGATGGAGGGGGTCTGGTGGGGGTCCGAGCAGGGGTTATTCACTGCAGCCCCAGGGTTTTTGCCTGCCCCACTTTTGCCTGCTTCCCCCTGGCCCCTTTCCCAGGGAGGGAGACTGAAAAGGACCAGTGCAGCAGGCGCCGGCCGGGGAAACAAAGAGCCCCTTGTCCCAAGGAGCCGGGGCAAAGTGCAGAGCTGGCTTCCCAGGCTTGGTCCTTTCTCTTTCTCCCCCTCTGTTTTAATGTGGCTTTTGGGGTGGGTTTTGGGGGGGAGTTTTTTTAAAGACTTTTATCCAAGAACAAAGTTCAGACCTCAAAAATCAGGCAGATCTGCCTGGCTCTTGCTTTGCTGGGGTGGGGGAGAAGAAGGTAAAAAGGGGATTAAATTAAGTTATTTCTGGGGACGTCTCGTGTGAGCATTTGAGCACCTGAGCTCTTCTGGGGGCACCGAGACAGCCTTCATCAACCGCTCCATGGGCAGCACGTGCTCACACAGGCAGAGCCGCGGGACCCTTTGCAGGAAAGCTGTCCCCTACACCCCCAGGAGGGGACAGCCCTAACGGAGACCCAGGCCAGGCCGCAATTTGGGAGAGAGAGAGGGTTTCGTCCTGCCTTCAACACTGACTCTCTGGCCAGCCTCTGCCACATCACTTCATCTCCCTCTCGCCCCTCTTTTCCCCTCTCTAGGTGAGGGTCATAATTTTGACATCCTTTAGGTGAGCTGGTGGAAGAATAAGACATGGATGGGGAGGTGTGAGGTGGGGGTTGTTTTTGCAGCTCATCCCTTCTCCTCCAAGAATCCGGTCCAACACCTGACACCCCCAACCCTGCTATAAATCGGGCTATACACATGACACGTGGCCGCGTATCTATACATGGAGGAGCTGGGCTCTCCCTGCACATTGCTGAGACCATGACCATGGCTGTGACGCTTGAGGAGCCACCACATCCCCTTCAAAACCCATGAAGCACGAAATGCTGGAGCCATGTGTTGCACTGTGGGCTGGGGGGACGAAGGAGCAGCTGGCATATTCAGGGTCGCTCCGGGGTGATGTGAATCTCCACAGATGAGCTAATCTCTACAGGTTTCACCTGAGAATCATAGAATCATAGAATGGTTTAGGTTGGAAAGGCCCTTGAAGATCATCGAGTTCCGCCCCCCCTGCCATGGGCGGGGACACCAGCCCAGGTTGCTCCAAGCCCCGTCCAGCCTGGCCTTGAACAGCTCCAGGGATGGGGCCTCAACAACCTCTCACGGCAACCTGGGCCAGTGCCTTACCCCCCTTAAAGTGAAAAACTTCTTCCTAATGTTTAATCTAAACCTGCCCTCTTCCAGTTTAAAGCCATTCCCCCTCATCCCATCACTACATGACATGGTAAAAAGTCCCTCCCCAGCTCTCCTGTAGCCCCTTTAGGTACTGGAAGGCCGCAATAAGATCTCCCCAGAGCCTTCTCTTCTCCAGGATGAACAGCCCCAACTCTCTCAGCCTCTCCTCATAGGAGAGGTGCTCCAGCCCTTGGATCATCCTCGTGGCTCTCCTCTGGACACGCTCCAGCAGGTCCATGTCCTTCTTATGTTGAGGACTCCAGAGCTGGAGGCAGTACTTCAGGTGAGGTCTCA